TTTTTCTTGCCAGCTGTATAAATGGGGCTTTGATTTGACTTCTGTAAGCAAGCCTTCATGTCTTCATTTGGAAGACGAGAGTGCTACTATCTATGGATCAGCATTATTGTGAAAATAAATTAGCGAGTGTTTGCAAAATCCCCAGCAAAAAGTATGGCATATTGTAAATAGTTAAAACTCACCTGCCCCAAATCCTAAATAAGTACATACAAATAAAACCCTACCATCCCTAGGTCCCATCACCTTCTCCAGCTAAAATCAGATGGGAACTCCTTCATTTTCCTGCACCCAAACCAGAAAGTTCCCGGTATCCACACACAGCCCTTTCTCTTTCTCTCCATCATAATTCTGTTCACAGGCTTATGTCGCTACCTTCCTAGGGGTGATATTTTATTAGTTAAATTCTTTCTTTCCTTTAATTTCAACTCCGTCTATTCAACCAGTCTTTTCTGATTAGATCAACATCAAACATACTCAAGACTATCTTACAAAAAAACCAAAACAAAACAAAAAACACAAACACAGAAAACCCCATTTATTCCTGACCTCCTGTTTCCTTCTAGTAAAGCTGTCTGATCTTTCTGCTCCCCTTCTTGCAAGAGACATTGGAGTTAACTGTTTCTGCTTCCTCTCCTCTCCTTCACCACCACATTCACCACAGTGTGCCTAGGGTCTCTGTCACACCACTAAAGCTGCTCCCTCCCATGGTTGCTGAATCTCACCGCCTAATCCAACGGCCACACCTTAGACCATAGCTAACTTGACCTCTGGGTAGTGCTGGACATGTGGCCACTTCCTCCTCCTTGAAATGTTCTCTTCCCTGGCTTTTTGCAGCACTTCTTCTGTCTCTATCCATCTCTCTGGCTCCTTCACAGACCTCATGATGTATCTTATAAGTAGGCTCAATAATTGTTTACTTTATTTTTTAAATGTTTATTTATTTTGAGAGAGAGTGAGAGCAGGGGAAGGGCAGAGAGAGAGACAGAGAGAATCTCAGCAGGCTCCGTGCTGTCAGTGCAGAACCCAACTCCGGGCTTGAACTCCCGAACTGTGAGATCATGACCAGGGCCAAAATCAAGTCAGATGCTTAACTGACTGAGCCACCCAAGTGCCCCAATAATTGTTTACTACATCATCATCATCATCATCATCATCATCATCACCACCACCATCATTATTATTAAACACTAATCTTATTGAAATATTTCTAATTACTCTAACATTCTTAATTCTAGGCCTTCCCTTGTGTGGTTCACCCTTCCTGCAGTTCTCTTCTCTACCTTCTCTTCCCTTCTTTCACTTAGCTTCCTTCTCCTCAACTTTGCATCTCAGCTTAGAAGCTTCTCCCTCCTGCACATGTTGCCTTTCCTCCTTAGGTCTGCCTCAGGCACCCCTCCTGGGTACTTTCCCAGCAACCTCTGCTTTCCCTGTCATACCACTTTTCATGTATACCATAATTACCAAATTATGTTTTCTTGGCTCAAATGGTCCTTCCCCTGTAAGTTCTGAGGGCTTTGTTGTGCCTGTTTTTAGCACCTTGCAGGATGCCTGAGTCTCATAACGGGTGTATGAATGAGTGAACGAATAGGTGGAGGTGACGTTATTGCTATGTTGGATTGAGGATTAGTATACCTTATATTTTTAATGCTACATAGAATTACTTGCAGGCACTCAGTCAAGTCCCTCCTCCAAGCTTCTTCCTCTATAAAATTGAGAAAAGTACAGCAATATTCCTGAGGGAATTTTGCAGGTGCTCTCTCTTTTTTAATCTGCACAAAGGTCCAACAAAGTTGAGACTTTGATGAAAGGAGATAATATCTGCGTCTCATCTAGCATGGACAGTTTGCCTAGCAGGATCTCTTCACCAATGCCATCAATGAAGGCAGAAAGGTAATGTTCTTTCTTGATCTGTAACTTGATTCAAGTTAATCACAAGTGCTTGTTTTTGCTTGATGGAAAATAACACAAAATCTAACATTAACAACAAATCTTGAAAGCTTTGCCATTTAAGGTATTTAGTCTCTTCTGATTTAAAAACAATAAGTTCTACCAAGTTACTCTTCCAAATCACTTTGAGTTTACTCTTTTAATGTTTTTTAAAAAATATTTATTTATTTTTGAGAGATAAAGAGCAGGGGGTCGGGAGGAGGCAGAGAGATAAGGAGACACAAAATCCAAAACAGGCTCCAGGCTCTGAGCTATCAGCACAGAGCCTGACGCGGGGCTTGAACTCACCAGCCGTGAGATCATGAGCTGAGCCAAAGTCAGATGCTTAACTGACTGAGCCACCCAGGCACCCCTGAATTTACTCTTTTAGGTAAATACACAATGTTTTAGCATCCACTCCCTACCCTTTCCTTTTCACCCCCTGCCCACAGTGGAGGAGCAGCAGAAGAAGGCCTTTGGCCCGTGGGCTTCACATCCTCCTAGCATCCACTGAGAGTGTCCATTCCACTGCTCAGAGACCACCTTGCTGAGCCTGCTCTGCCTTGGCTCTCATGGGCACTGAGTCTCCTTCCAGGCTTCCACAGCTCCAAAAGATATTCCATCCAACATCTGCTTCTGCAAGCAATGACAGTCTCCTGACAGGCAGGCTAGCTATCAGGTCTGAGTTCCTCGGAGTCTGTGGAAACTTCTGGATCACCTCTGTAAGAACTTGGAGGAGACAAGGTATGGAAAAAATAGCATCCACAAGGGATTTTATGGGCAGGGGTTTTATGGCCTGTTTTCTGATGTATTTTGTGCATTAGTATTTTATAAAAGAAATTGTTGAATGAATGATTCTCTGGCCATCTCTCTGCATAATCATTGCCATGCTAGTATTTCATGCTGTCTTTGATTCTCATTTTATCTTGGATTTCTACTCCTTCTTCAGGGTTTTAAACCCAATGTAGGAATGAGGGTGAGTGGGTCCCTGAGCCAGCCTCTCCTAGGAGTCTAACCTGTGTTACTCCCTCTCCCTCCCTGGCACAGGAGCAATTTTATTTCCATCCTGCCTGATTGGAAACAACCTTACATCATATTCTGCTTTCTCCATACTCCTTGTCTTAGAGGACCATATGTCTTGTCTTAAGGTGACCGTATGTCCTGGTTTTTGCCTGTGGTAGTCATGGTTTATGCCCGTTGTCTCTGTGTAATTAATAGGCATGGCCCTCTTCACTCTCAAAAATGTCCTGGCTTGGATGGTAAAGTTCATGGCTACCCTGCTTTTGTTAAACACTTAAAACTCAGGCCTCCAAATTTAGATTTCTTTTTGATTTAAAGTTTGGATTTGGGAATTGCTTCAAAACCCTTTTCTACCTCAGTTTTCTGGCTCTTGCAAGTAAAGTCTTGGTTTTTATGACTGTTGTTCTAGCAAGGGCATGATAACATCTAGTTTATATTTTTTAAATGTTTCTTTATTTTTGAGAGAGAGAGAGAGAGAAAACACAAGTGGGGGAGGGGCAGAGAGAGAGGGAGACACAGAATCTGAAGCAGGCTCCAGACTCAGCCTGACACAGGGCTCAAACTCATGAACTGGAGATCATGACCCAAGCTGAAATCAAACGCTCATCTGACTAAGCCACCCAGGTGTACCATAACATCTATTTTAAAGACAAAGATACCCAATGACTTTTTAATTAGGAGAAATGAAAACGTTTCACAAAAGTAAAAACAAACATTAAATATGGCAATAGCATGGTGCCACCAATCCATGACCCTGGGCAGCACATCATCCTGGAGCACATTGCTGGGCCTCAGATGCTCAGGTGATCCCATCACTTGGAGTTAAGAACTGTTAACATATTGTCCTTTTGACAAGTTTTAGAAAAGAAAGAAAACATTGTAGCCAGAGTCATTTTTTTTTTTTTTTAATTAGAGAGAGAGAATGCTTAGGAGCAGAGGGAGAGTGAGAGAGAGTGAGACTCCCAAGCAGGCTCCATACCTGGCAAAGTCTGACTCGGGGCTTGATCTCACAATGGTGAGATCATGACCTGAGCTGAAATCAGGAGTCAGATGCTTAACCAGCTGAGTCACCCAGAGTCATTTTTAACCAATGCGGTTACTTTATTCTAGACTATGTCTGGCCATCCTCTGAGGACAGTTTGTAGAAAGCTGTAGCTCTTATTTGATTAGTGAAGAGTGTGTTGAGGGTTAAGATAATTCATAAAATATATTTTAATATAAAAACATTAACTGAGTATATAGGCAATCAATGAATGTTGTTTTTCAAATCTACGTGGTAACCCTGCTCATCTTATTCTGATTAGAGGCTCTGTTTTGGCAACATTCATGACATTGACTTAAAAAAATGAAAAGGTGTATTCATCATTAAGTCATTTGGGAGAAAATTATAATTAATCTGAATTAAAACATGTAATTTGATAAGCAAGATCTTCTAAAATAAAGTATCCATGGGATGAACCATTAAAACATGTGGCCTCGAAGACCTTTAGTTTTTTAAAAGAGGCTGGGCAGGTAATAGAATGGCTTCAGTGACTTTTAGTAGGGTGTTTACTTTCAGACGTTCTTCTGGTAGTAGTGACGGATTTGCCCTGAGGCATTCACCCCCTCCTGTAGTTTGTCTTGTAACAGATTGTTTTTTCAGGGTGGTTGACTTGAATTAGGGTACGTAATGCATTACAAATACCACTTTGGCCTAGTTAGAAACACGGGCTCACCAGTAGATTCAGGGGACAGCTGACTCTGCATTAGGGGACAGGCAGTGACCACTGAAGGCTGATGAGCAGTGACCAAGGCTTCTCATAGTCATTATTACTATGACTTCCTAAATGTTTCTCCTTAGTATCGCTCTGATCCTTGAGTGGGAAACAGAGCCTGCCTCCGAGGGTACGTGTGTGTTTAAGGGGTAGAATCTTTGAGAGGATGTGGAGGAGCAGTAGGGGTTGGAAAATTAGAGCCAGTCTCACATTTTTACTACCTTTCTCTCTTTCTTCTACAGTTCATGAGCTTAAGCCTCTTTCTATCTCTCTTCCCTTTCACCTCCCCCACACCCACAGATGGGGTGGCCGCCTTCCGCGCCTTCTTGAAGACCGAGTTCAGCGAGGAGAACCTAGAATTCTGGCTGGCCTGTGAGGAGTTCAAGAAGACCAGATCAACGGCAAAACTGGTCTCCAAGGCCCATAGGATCTTTGAGGAGTTTGTGGATGTGCAAGCTCCGAGGGAGGTGTGTTGGCAGTGGCGAGAGTCTTCTAAGACCTCTATCCATGGCTCCTGGCTCACATCTCTTTGTGGGGGTTTGAGCCAATTTGATGGGGACTATCTTCTGAACTGAGCCTCACCGCTCTGATGGCTCTTAATGAAAAAAGGGTCACTTCTAAGGTGCAGAACCCAGGGCTTCTAAAAAGGAACTCTGTTAGTGTTTCAGCTGTCTGTCAAACATGTGCCTGCAGGACTTGTGTTTATATAGGGATTCTGTCAGGAGAGATGCCGTTGAATCCATGTTAGTTTTCCTAGTGGAAGGCAGCGTGGCTTAATGGATGAGCATCCACTTTGGAATCTTATTCCAGTCTCAGCTCCACCAGTCACTAGCTGTGTGGTCTTAGCCAAGTTATCTAGTCTCTCTAAATCACATTTGCCCCGATGTGAAAGTGTATAATATCACCTACCTTTCAAGACTACTCTGTATATTAGGGATAAAGCACCTACTCAGCATCTGTCACTGATTATTAATGAGTCACTATCATCATTTATATTATTTATAATAAGTTATTATCTTTTATAATAATAAAATGAATTTCTATATATGGATGTGCCGAGTTATAAAACAGAATTTTACCCTGGAGGGTTTTATAGAAGAAAAATATTTGCTGTCTATGAGTTTTGGTACATTATGTACCTAGGACTCTTCAGTTATATGCTTTTACTTGGGAAGTAGAAGGTCTTTGCCCAGTGCCCAGGATGCTGTAGGCTCTTTATAATGCTGCTTAGAACAGAGATGTCCATTCTAACCATAATCTCTCCTCCTGGGGTATTTGTTTCCTTAGTAGTTAAGAACAAACAAGGGAGTAAGCTTACTTTAGGGAATCCACATTAATACTTACCTTCAGTTTCACTCTTTGCTTGACATCATGAAGACCCCTGGATTAGGAGTTAAGTGATTTGGGATTTTGCCCTGGCTCTGTTACTAACTTTCCATACTGCTTTAGAGCAGCCTTTTTGTATCTCTTTTCTTTGGTGTCCTTACCTGTAAACTGGGACAAAGACTATCTGGACTTCAGACCTCACAGGATTCTTGCTGGGATTAAAAGGGATAACCTCCATGAAAACATTTTGAAAAGCATGAATAAGCTTACAACATATATAAGATACTGCTATTAATAATTATTACATAGCTAGGAGCAGTTGCCAGGCACCTTGGCCCTTGAGGGCCTGTGACCATGCTCTCTGTTTGTGTCTCCAGGTAAACATAGACTTCCAGACCCGAGAAGCCACGAGGAAGAACATGCAAGAGCCATCCCTGACTTGCTTTGACCAAGCGCAGGGAAAAGTACACAGCCTCATGGAGAAAGACTCTTATCCCAGGTTCCTGAGGTCCAAAATGTACTTAGATTTGCTCTCCCAAAACCAGAGGAGGCTCAGTTAGACCTCAGATGGGGACTCTTGGAGATCACTGGCTTCCCCCCTCCCCTTGCTGCCAAGACCATATTCTAATGTGAAATGTCATAGGTGTTCAAAAAGCAATGGCATTTAGATTGGGAGCCTGGGGATGAGGAATGGAGAAACGGCCATTCCAAAGTAAGATTCAGTCACCAGAGCTTGGACTCTATTCCATTTACCCATATTTATGTTTTGGTTAGCGGTAGCACCTTGCTGCTGTTACCCTCCTTCTGGGTCAGCAACTTACCCTCCATAATGCCTTGGGTCATTTCCGCTGAGAAGGCAGATTTGCTATGCTGGGCTAATGTGTAAATAATGCAAATGCAATTTCCACCACTTCCACACCCTCCTCAGTTAGGATTCCTGACTCTAACTTGTACTATACTCCTGTGAGGAATAGCTAGAAGATTCTGGCTCATCTCGGTGTAATGACCAGTCCTAGGTGCTGGGACCTCACAGTGTAGGAGAGAGGTTTGTGGGGAATCCCAAGTTTCTAGAGCTGTCATTGACAGGTGGCCTCTGGGAGAAGGTGCAACCTCTATGGAGTTGGCTATTTCTTCCATTTCCATTGGACTAGTATGAAAAGCTGTCATCATTGCCCATCTTAGCCTAGGAAATTCACAAGACATTTTTACCCTCACAATTCCATGAAGGGTCTTGGGAGATGTCTTACATGATTTCTGACGTGGAGCCTACTTTTAAGAAAGATACAGCTTGCAAATCTTCTTGATTCTACCAAGAAGTATTCCAGAATACTTCTGAATGACCAGGGAACATAGCACCAGTAGACTTTTGTGCAATGGGGTGCCATATAACCTTTCTGTTGCTTAATGTATTCTCTGCCCTCACCTCCCTTTGGCATCATACATCACTGATCTCTTAGGATGACAGCTTGGCAAAGGGAGGTGAATTCCCACAGCATGGACAGCTTTCATGGTGCCTAATACTTTCCTTGTCTCTCCCTGTCCCCCCTTCCATGCAGGTCATGTAATTATGATGGGGGAGAATAGGAACTTAGGCTGTAACTCTTCAGCTTGCTTCCTGGGAGCATGCTTTCATAGAAAGGTCTCTCTCACGAAGGCCATCTTGGTCATTCAACAACTTCCTTCTTGATCTCTGACCTTTTGGGATTGAACATGGAACAGGAAGTGAGGCTAAGATCACTGTGAACATCTGGCTATGGAGACTTTTCCTCAGATATTTTCATGGTACCCTGAGGCTCCTTTTTGGAAATGTGTCAGATTACTCTTCCTTGGAGGATGAGCACAAAGCACTCTAGCTGCCTGAGAAAAAAGTGGACTTTGGCACAGATTTGCAGTGTGAGGGATATGAATCCTCAGCAGAGAGGCCGGAAAGTGGAAGAAGAGTCTGGAAGAGGCTGGTCTCCAGGTGGACCAAATCATAGAGAATATGGTGGAGGTACTATTGGGATAATTCCCAGTTGATGGATTTGGATTCATTGCAGAGCTCAAAAACTTTCAGCTTGACTAAATGAGATAGCTATGATTAGGCATAAGCTCTGGAGTGCAGGTGATTAAGAACTGGGCTGAAGCATTCTCTTTTTGTGGGGTGGTGGGCCTCTTTAGGTACACAGGATTCTAGCATTTGCATTCCTGTCCAGTGACTTTGTGAATATCTTCCTTCCTTGGCTGCAGCTGGACAAGTTCCAGAAGGCTGTTGAGTCCCACTGGTATTCGGGTCCATTGCCCTGCCATGACACATTGTATCTGTAAGTGAGGGCTGGTGAGTCTGTCTAAACCATCAAGGAGCAAGAGAACATGTGCCTCCTAGCCCTCACACTGAAGCATTCTGTGAAATCTCATGTTCAAGAACTCTGAAGCCTCAAATAGGTGTTGTTAGTTAGATCAGGTAGTATTCCCCTGCCCCTATTGGTAAAATACCATTCTTAGCTACAGCTGCCAGAATTAATTTAATGATCAAATTCTTGAACAGGGTATTTTAAACATTGTTTACATATGAAATGTACACCTGCTGCCAACTCTACTGTCGAACATGAGGTGCACGTAAATTGGAATGGCACAGAGTTATGGAAAAATGAAATGTTTCAGAGGGGCCTTTTTACCACTTCCACTATCCAGGAGAAGTCTGAACGAGACTGTAGTGCAGTGGCCTCACCTGAGGCCTAGAGTTCTTGCCAACCACGGGTGGAATGAAGGCTGCAGATGGCGGTGCCATGGCGCCCGGTGACTTCCTCCCACGATGGGGAGGCGTGAAGGACCAAGCTTGGGTATCCTGAATTTTGCCGCTATGTGAGTGTATGTGGGCATGTGTCTGTGTGTAGAGGAACGTCATGGCTATATTTATGGTACTCCCGTGGGGTGTCTGCGTGCGTGCGTGTGTATGTGACCATTGTGAGCATGAGTCCAGGACACCATAGAGACCATTTTCCCATGGGGTGGAGCTGTCCTCACACCCTTTCTGTCCTGCTTCCAACAGAAGGCACAGGGCTCTCTGCTCTGATGCCTACATTCAGTGACTTAGGTCATGCCAACCCAGATTTTGGTCTGACGAAACAGAGAAATGTTTACAACATCCAGAGCAATATCAAAGCATACCTCATCCCTGACCATCATGTCTCCCGGTCCTGCCCTCTTGCTCATCTCCTCTTCCACAAGCCCTCATCCCCCTCGCTAGGTGGGCATCGGCAGGTGCCACTTCTTCCATTTAAGGTCTTCCTTTTGTCCTCATGTTGGGCTCGTGCTGTGGACTGCCTTCTGGGCTTGAGGCTTGCTCTGGGCCTGGGACCTCTGAAGACCCAGGGCAAGCCAGAGCAGGCCAGGCAGAGCTGTGATCTTTAGGACTGCTCTCCACCCCCAAGTGGCCTTTCGGCCCCACTTGAGTGTCAACCTGTTTTTAGGCTAGTGTGAGATTTCCCATTGCCTTTGGTAAACCAAAAAGACCATAATCAGTGACAACCATTCATTGTCCCGGGGGCACCTTTGGGGTGAGAAAGGATCCTCTGAACATGCCCAGGGCTCACCCAGAAAGCCTGTTATGTGTGCTAATTCCCAGGTGGCAGACCCAGATATTCTGATCTGAAAGACCAGGGTGGGACCCAGAGAAAAACATTTTTAATCAGTTCCCATGGACCATGCTTTGAAAAAAGATGGTCTAAGACAGTGGCTCTCACCATTGGCGGTTATTGGAGTCACCTGGGGAGTTTTAAAACCTAAATGTCCAGGTCCCACCCCAGAACAGCCTGGGGCAAAGACCCAAGACATCAGTAGTTATTAAAGCTCCCCAAGTGATTCCATGTGCAGATGAGGTTAGGAAGCACTGGCCTGGGGAGTGAGGATGGGCAGAGCTGAGCTTATACGAAGGTGTGGCCAACAGGGCTAGAGCATGCTCAGATGCAAACAAGCGCAACAGCCTGGAACCCGCCAGCCCCGAGCTTGATTCAGGGAGGCTGCCTCTGTGCTGTCTCAGTCTGATTTGCCCCTTTGAGACCAAAGTGTTCCAGCTGCATGCAGTGTTACGCAGCAGGTATGCCAATGGCGGGGAGCTCTGGGGGGTATTTGATTGAGAGAGATTCTCCCACTCATCCTGAGTCTCATTCACAGTGCTTCCTCCAAGCTTCCTTCCCGGGCTGCTCCCTCGTCTGTTTGCTCTCATGCACTCTGTGTTTGGCCGTCTGCGTTAGGTTGTGCCTCTGTATCCAAGGCCATGTGACGTCGTGGTAGTCGGAGCTCAGGTAGCGGGTGAAGGGTGTGTTGGGGTAATAACAGTGGTAGCACAACAACTTCCAGGTTTCTCAGTGGAGGGCGTCCCACCCCAGGAATATCATGCTTTTTGGGGCTTTCTTTTCCAAGGCCACAGTGGGGCTTCAGTGCCTGCTGTTAGCTCTCATAATCGCCAATTTGGTCTCCGGCCCGGTGGGCAGCTGAAAGTTCCTAGTTGATTGATTTTATTCTCTGGTGCTTCCCCCCACCCCAGAACTTGCTGCTCTGAATAAACCAAAGCTGTGAAACAGTGTTCTGCCTAGGCTGCAGGCCCAGCCTCCGAGTGCGGGGCTGGGGTGTGCATGTACCTGGGGCCCTGGACTGTGAGGGAAAGACACAAATCCATTGTGTTGAGAGCTGGGGGGTGGGGAGGGCGGGGAGAGACTGAAAAGGAAGGAACAGGGTGAGAAAGACAAATGGCTGAGGTCCTGGCTGCCTCTCCATGAAGCAGAAGGGAGAGATGAAAAGCCGCACAGGCAGAGGCAGAAATGGTCCCCACCGACACGAGCGCCGAGAACCGCCCTGACCCTGTCTGTGCCTACTTCCAAGCAAAGCAGGGGAATCTGGTTTTCCACCCGACACTGTCTGTCAGTGGGCCGAGTGTCAGCCCTCATTACATCTGCGTCTCTCTGGGTCAGAAGCAGGAGAGGCGGCCAAAGTGACCCCTGCCTTGAGAACCTGTGCCACCTAGCCTGAGATCGTGGAGGAAGAAGCCGAGAGCAGAAATGTCTTCCTGTCCCTGTGGCCTCTCAGGACTGTCCAGGGATGCTGTGGACCAAGATGGGAGGCTGCAGGACGGGGCCACTGGCCTTCCCAGGTCTGGGGTCCAGGCCCTCTCAATAAACTGCTCCCTTGTTGACTGTTACTCCCTTTGGACCCTTCGTCCGCCTTCGGCTGGGCTCGGCGCGCTCCAGCCGCGGTAGCATTAGCTGAGTCACACAGCGTGCACATCAGATCCGTAGCTGCTCATCTGCTACATAAACCGCTTGGCTGATGGAGTCCTCATTGAGTTGTCTCATTACTGTGCAAAGTGAAATAATGTCATTCACCTTAACTATAAACAAGGCTGTGAGAACATAATAAACAGACCCTGAACACACTGCCCTTCGCTCTCTGCCCACATTTCTGGCCAGCTGACTGTTTATGAGGAGACATAACACACGGACTCCCCTCGGGGGGCCACGTGGCCTCCCCAGACAGGGGCTGGCACAGGGCTGGCCATCAGGAAAAGCAGCCGTGTGGGTGG